TTAAAGTTTGTACATTTGTTCTTCAAAATTAATTTGAGGGCAAGCTAAGGGTAGGGCTGGGTCAGGAAGCCACACAGAGTTTCAGCATGCCTGTTACACAGCACTCAGAGCAAGGCTGTGCTCCCCAGCAGCTGCTGAGCCACTGCCAGCACAGCTCAGCTCCTGCTGCTGCCCAAACCCTTGTGCTGATTCACAGATGGAGGGGTGGAAACACAACACAACCCTGACATCCTCCAACACATAAAGCCTGCTCCAAATGCATGAGGCCTGTGAAGACACAAGGGGTACTATGCCTTGACTGTGTCCCTTTACCATGCTTGGTGTTGTCACAGTACGTCCTACCTCTCATTTGTGTGTGTGAGTGCCAGGGCTTCCTGACACCAGTGCTAAATTCCACATCACTGGCTGCAGCCAAACTTAGCACTGGCCCTGGAGGTGTCTGCCTGGATAGCTGCTGTTTGCTCTTTTGAGCATGGCATGCCTTAATTGCAGACAGTTTCTAGCCCTTTGGGAAGAGGAGAGGAAAGAGTCATCTGTGTATAGTATGGTAAGTAAGTGGGTGTTTTCATTTAAAGAAAAAGAGATCAGCCTGAGCTCTCAGTGTTCTCACAGGAAGTTGTACAATAATACATCAGAAAAGCTGCTGCACCTCTTCCAGAGTGCTGTGGTAAGTACTGGGAATGGAGAGGGGACTGGTGGGCTGGATTAACAGCCAGCTGATAGAAACAGAAACCTTTCCCTGATATTGTGTCAGTAACCATTTATAGAAAGGAACTCTTGACTACCTTTGTGCTTCTCTTCTTGCTTACTTGGAACACCACAGCAGCAAGGACTCCCACATTTTAAAAGCCGTGGAGCTCATCATAAAGTAGGAGGACCTTCTCCATCAGCAGTCAGTAGTATCTTTTGAGAAACAGGGGCTTGGGTGAGGTTTCTAGCATGAGGTATAACAGTATAAGTACCCAGGAGTGGGTTTAGTCAGAGAGGAAGTGTCAAAATCCATAGCATGTTTTCCTTATTCTAGCCATACTTGGTTAGTTAAGATGAGAAACAGCCTTCAAGAAAAGAACTTCATTTCCTCTGTTACAGGGCATATAATACATAATAGGTGGCCTCAGAGTAGAATATCAGAATTTTTCATCAGTGTGTCATATACTAAAGCAAGAATTTTCCCCTGTATGTGGGCTGCTGACATAAAAAGGAGTCGTAGGAAAAGTTTGGTTTGGAAAGGATCTTAAAGCTCATCTCATTCCAACCTCTGCCATGGGCAGGGACACTAGACTGTGTTGCTCCAAGCCCCTTCCAACCTGGTCTGGAACACTTCCAGGGATGGGGCAGCCACAGCTTCCCCGGGCCGCC